TAATGAAGTTTCACGAACGGGGAGTTAAAACCCTGTTTGTGAAACGAATAACCTACCGAATGCACAACCACACACAGGGGGTCGTGTGGCACCAATTAACAAATTAACAATGTTGCAATCGGTAATTAAGAGTGTTTCTAGGTGGCCGTCGTTCGAATACCGACCACGCGGCTGTCGGCCATCTTGTTTCTTTTGTTAGCCCAGCGGTGTTTTGTCGTCGAGCGCCTGGAACTAAAAACGGCTACTCGACGGCACGAACACCGCTGGACTTCCAGGCCATTCAGGAACCTCGGCCGTTCGGTAGTTCATTCCCCTTACGATAATCGGTATTTTTAAACCTATGTTGAAATTATGTGTATTTCGTACGGCGTTCGGTTAGTTAGACTGGGAGCTGAGCGGTAAACTCACGAACGATGCGCTCAGCCTCCAGCTACCTACCGAACGTCCGTTCGTGTAAAACTAATGAATAATGTGAAAGTTATGTATTTTAATGTAAAAAGTGAGTTCTGCTGCACGGAGGGATAATCCCATTAACGGTATATCCCAGTGGGAGTATCCCTCTCGTCCAGCAGTGTATGATGGGAAAATTGTGTGGGTTGGGCAGTTCCCCATGTAGTCCCCTACTGTACAACCCCTGAAATGTCCCCTTGTATGAGGAGACCTGCCATTAAACCTCAGTTGACCTCCAAGCTATGTGTCGTCTAGTTCTTGGGAGGAAGGGATTGTAACTACGCTACCGGGATTTTACCTGCTTTGTGCCTGTTTGTTTCTGTCTACCAGCGGAGATACCGTAGATAATACTACTGTTCCGCTACAATTGGTGGCAAGCGACGGGATTCTAACCTCACAGCAAAGCAGCGTTCGGCAGGAATTAAAACGAACAGAAGGAAAGAAACAGCAATTCGTGAGCACAGCCATTCGGATGAAACCGGAGTTCGGGAATACGGGAAACGCACGAACAGCCGGTGAATGGAAACGAATTATGCACTTTTGAAACGCAGCACATTAAAGGAGTTATTAGAGTCAAGAGGAACAGTAGCCAGCAACAAGGCAAAGGCTGTTTTAATTGAGGAGCTGATGGAAGGGGACAGAGCTGCAGCTGCTGCAGCACCTCCAATGAGGAGAGAGCAAACGGAATTTGAAATAGAATTCAAGAGCAGGATAGCTCTGTACCCAACCACCCCACCACAGGAGACGTTCGACAGGATCATGGCAGATGTACAGGAATACATCATGGCCAAACAGGGTCAAGCAAACCAGCCACCCAGAGAGGGGTCACCGGCTCCACCTAGCATCATACAGGGAAAACCGAAAATTCCCTACCAGGCTTTTAAAAACTTCACGGACACAGAGGGTGATATTGATGGATATCTGCAGGACTTCGAAAGACTGTGTCAGCTGCATGAGATCCAGCCCCATGATCAAGTCCACCTGCTAGCTGGTAAATTATCTGGCCGCGCAGCGGAAGCTTACAGAGCCGTGCCAGATGAGGACAGCCGAGACTACCATAAAGTAAAACAAGCCATCCTAGCTCGGTATGCCATCACTCCAGAGGCGAACCGACTCCAATTCCGAGACCTGAGAAAACAGGAGAAGGACTCTCACGCTGAATTTGCGCATCGCCTACAACGAGCAGCCACCGGGTGGATTGAGGCAGCGCAAGCAACCACTAAGCAGGATATCATGCAGCTACTGCTATTGGAACAATTCTACCGGAGATTATCCACCGAGATGCAGAACTGGGTAAGGGACCGTAAACCCTGTACCATACAAGATGCCGCTAAACTCGCGGACGAGCACCAGGATACTAGGCGAGAACAGCGACCCCCACCTAAAGTATTTCCTCCGGCAAGCACCTACCGGCCTGCCGCGGCGGACCCCCCCCCGATCAGGGGGAGCATACAACACGTACCAACCCCGATACAACACCCGAGCACACATCCGATGCCATACCTGCAACCAACTGGGACATGTACAAAGAGATTGTCCCCAAAACAGGGCACGGCCATCAGGACCACACCAAGGACAACCACTGGGGCCTAGAGCAGCGGTACACTGTTATCAGACCGGAGCGTTTGCACAGCCATCCACCACCGCCCAGATAGAGGAACCGCTAGGCACGCTCCACGAAGTTAACCCAGTGCAAGCGGCATCAGATAACCGCCAACGCCATAGGCAAGTGGTCCATATAGAAGGTAAACGCATGGAAGGACTGCGGGATTCCGGGGCCACCATCACGTTGGTTCGAAACCATCTGGTTGCAAAAGAGCAACTCACGGGGATTGCATAGCGGTACGGGTGGCAGGGGGAGCCATTTACAAAGTTCCCACTGCCAAAATACACTTGAATTGGGGAGCGGGGGCAGGGCAAGTGGAGGTGGGGATGATGCAAGACTTGCCAGCGGATGTTATTTTGGGAAATGACTTGGGGGAGCTCACCTCTGCTTTTATTCCACAACCTACCACGCAGGAGGCTTATCCAGTCATCACTCGACAACAGGCTTGCACCACGGCACCACCCACCGACTCTGAGGCTCAGGTAAGCAATGCCAACCCCAACCACACTATCCTACCCTGGGATGCCCCTTTAGAATTTGGTAGCGAGGTCGCTCTAGATCCTTCCTTACAGGTTTATAAAGACCGAATAGACAAGAACCAGGTAGGCATAGAAGGAGAAAAGTATGCTTGGGATAACGGGCTATTATACCGATATGCTGAGAAGATCGTGGCCGGGTCAGTTCCCATTCCCATTAAACAGCTAATAGTGCCTCGGAAGTACAGGCAAGAGTTAATGCCCATAGCGCACGACATACCATTGTCAGGGCATTTAGGAATCAGCCGAACCAAACATCGGCTGACGCAAAACTTCTTCTGGCCAGGTATCTCCCAAGATATTAGACAATATTGCAATACCTGTGATACCTGCCAGAGGGTCGGAAAAAGGGGAGACAGATATAAAGCTAAGCTGCACTCCCTACCCATAATAGAAGAACCCTTCAGTAGAGTAGCAGTGGACATAATAGGACCACTGAAAAAACCCAGTCCCTCCGGCAAGAAGTACTTGACCGTAGTAGATTACGCCACCAGATACCCTGAAGCTGTGGCTCTAACTAATGTACATGCTGAGACCGTGGTGGATGCCCTTATGCGAATATTCTCCCGCATGGGATTGCCCCGGGAGATTATTTCGGATAGAGGTACCCAATTCACGGCAGAGGTCACCCACCAGCTCTGGAAAGTATGTGGGGTAAAGGCTATCCTTAATTCGCCCTACCATCCCCAGTCTAATGGTCTCTGTGAACGGTTCAACGGAACGCTGAAACAAATGATCCGGACGTTCATAGACACACAAAAAGACTGGGAACGATTCCTACCCCACTTACTATTCGCATATAGAGAAGTGCCCCAAGAATCCACTGGGTTCTCTCCCTTTGAATTATTATTTGGAAGGAGAGTGAGGGGCCCCCTAGATTTAATCCAAGAACACTGGGAGGGGGGAGTAACCACTAATGGTACCCGTATCGTACCATATGTGCTGGAATTTCGGGACCGTTTGGAGGCGTTGACCCAGACCGTACGTACCAACCTCCAAGCGGCACAGCAAAGACAGCGCAGATGGTATGATGGGGGGCCAGGGACCGCAGCTTTCAGGTCGGGCAGAAGGTGCTGATCCTACGACCCGTACCTACTGACAAGCTGCAGGACTCCTGGCAGGGCCCATTTAAGGTGGTGGAGCAAATCTGCGATACCACCTATATAATTGGCCCATGCGCTGGGTCAGGGGGAAGACGCATGCTGCATGTAAACATGCTGAAACCATACAACGAGCGCCCAGAAGAGGTGACCGCAATATGTAACTCTGTCGCAGAGGACACAGATAATTTGCCGTTACCAGATCTTCTCGCCAGAGAAACACAGAAGGAAGAGTTAGCCGCGGTACAGTTAGGGGAGCGCTTAACTTTGCAGGAGAAAACCCAGGCCCAGAGTTTAATTAGGGAGAAGGGAGCCACCTTCTCCAACCTCCCCGGGAACACCCCGTTAGCCACCCACAGGGTGGAGACCCCAGGCCAACTACCTCTCCGTCAACCTCCTTACCGCACTCCAGAAGCAGTAAAAGAGCATATGCGTAAGGAGATTGAGGAAACACTACAATTAGGGGTTATTGAGCATTCAGATAGCCCTTGGGCGTCGCCCGTGGTACTAGTGCCGAAGCGGGATGGGACAACCCGCTTCTGCGTAGATTATAGAAGGCTTAACGATAAAACGGTATCAGATGCCTACCCCATGCCGCGCAAAGACGAGTTGTTAGACAAGATGGCCCGAGGTCATTATCTAACCACAATCGACCTGTGCAAAGGATATTGGCAAATCCCTTTAGCAGAGGACGCCATTCCGAAGTCAGCGTTTGTCACTCCGTTTGGCCTATACCAGTTTAGAGTTATGCCATTCGGAATGAAAAACGCCCCAGCCACATTCCAGAGGATGGTAGATCGACTATTAGACGGGTTTCAGGAATACGCATGCGCCTATCTGGACGACATAGCGATTTTCAGCTATTCCTGGACCGACCACCTGACCCATGTAGGGGCGGTGCTAGACCGTATTAAGGAGGCAGGCCTGATCCTTAAACCCAGTAAGTGCCATATCGGGATGGCCGAGGTCCAATATTTAGGACACCGAGTAGGAAGTGGCCAACAGAAACCAGAACCGGCCAAAATAGAGGCGGTAGCCAAATGGCCCACTCCCCGCACCAAAACCCAGGTTTTAGCATTCTTAGGTACCGCAGGGTACTATAGGAAATTTGTACCCGATTACAGTACCCTGGCAAAACCCCTCACAGACTTGACCCGCAAGAATCTCCCCAAGTTAGTAGTATGGGCCCCAGAGTGTGAAATGGCATTCCAGCAACTTAAAACTGCTCTTGTTAACGCACCTGTACTCGCTGCTCATGATCCAACTAAACGCTTTCTCGTCCATACAGACGCTTCTATGTTTGGATTGGGAGCAGTACTGAGCCAAGTCGGAGCAGATGGCGGCGAGCATCCCGTGGCTTACTTAAGCAGAAAACATTTACCCCGAGAAGTAAGCTACGCCGCCACTGAAAAAGAATGCCTTGCCGTGGTGTGGGCCATCAAGAAATTGCAACCGTATTTATACGGACAACCATTTGCATTACTCACAGATCACAACCCGTTGGTCTGGCTGAACCGGGTGTCAGGGGACAATACCAGGCTGTTGCGCTGGAGTTTGGCGCTGCAGCCTTTTGACTTTACGATCCAGTACCGCCCGGGAAAGCTAAATGGCAACGCAGACGGGTTATCCAGACAAACTGAACTTGAGAAGTGATCTGTGAGTACTCCTCCGGACATCCCCAAGCCGATCCGTTGGGATCAGACTGTGTATGCCGGCTTGGTTCTGGGGGAGCATTGTGGCAAAACTAGCCACCAAAGACTATTTATAAAGATGTATGTATGGCTGCTAAATTGTAAGAAACCAATGCTATTTGTATTTTAGGCGAATGAGGGCATTCGTATGCTGGCGGTAGGAAAACCCCAGCATTTCTAATGAAGTTTCACGAACGGGGAGTTAAAACCCTGTTTGTGAAACGAATAACCTACCGAATGCACAACCACACACAGGGGGTCGTGTGGCACCAATTAACAAATT